AGCAAAAGCGCGACCAGGATCACGAGCAATGTGGACGCACCTTAAAGAAATTGAGAATTCAAAAGACTGACTGATATTGTTTGAAGAAGATATAAAATAAAATATATAAAACAAAAAACATGTTGTTGATTTTTCTAGAAAACACTTATTTGCAATAGAAAACTACCGATTAATTTAAATATAAATGTTTCTCAATAAAAATATCTATTACGCCATTCTATTCTCGATCAAAGTTCACTTTAGCTATCAGACTGAACGACTCCTGCCAAGTGATTTACTTTTGTTTATCGTTAGTTCCATTTTAATTAATCATTGTTATTGTTAAATATTTGAGGTAATAAGAAAACAATAATATATGTAATATTTTAAGTGGGCAAATAATATTTGTCAATACGTATAATATGTAAAAAACACCTCAAGGGAATTATTGTTAATTGACCATCCACACATAATAAGTCGCCTCTTCTGCCCTAAATATACTGTTTAACTGCATTTTTTTTCGAAAAGTAAAATATATAATCCTTGTAACAAAATGCATTTTTTCATATTTGAAGTTGGTACCTTTGACCTGGGGATTCAGGTGGTAGCTCTGTTGTAAAAAATGTCAAGTTGCCACATTCATTTATTTATTTCCTGACATTTCGTTTTGACACTTTGAGTTATTGGTTTAAATAAATTGTGTTGTGATATTTTAAGATTAAAAATTGTTACTAGCAGACCTTGCAGTCGAACGTTTTCCTTTTTAGAACCTCTTTTAGTGCAAAGTGTACAAGATAGCTTAATAACCATTGCAAAAGACTATTTGCATCATTATTATAATATTTTGAACCGGAAAGCAGTAGTAATGTGCCTTTATGTCCCTTAAATGCTGCTAAGGAGGTGAGTTTTGTTGATGTAAATAAGTGTTTATATATTTATCAGCCGTCAAGTTTATTCACGTGATCAAAAGTTTATTTGGTACGATCTATAGATTTAGGTTTCGACTTTTAAAGTTTTCTGTTTCAATGGCTTATTCCCAGAGAGTTGCAGAAATAAGGGACTATTTTCCTCACAAAAGGATGTATATAAACAAAAAATTGTAGAAAATAGACTTGAATTAATAACAACTTTATTTGTTATTCAATGCCTTTAAACATTCCTTGTTACGGATAAACCTACAGCGTGTTTTACTCGTTCAAAACAAAAAACATCGCGCTGTATTGCCGGGTCAAAGTCCATCATACACTCCAGACTTAGAGGCGGCGGAAAAATTTTACGATTTGTTTTTGTATTTGCAGCGTTTAATCGCAGGCACAGCATCCGACGCGTGCGGTCTAACCTAATAAATAGAAAATAAAACGCGGTAAACAATGAAACGGAATTTGAATGTAAATGTATTCGAATAAATAATAGTATCGTAGAAAAACAAAAAGCTAGTGGAAAATTTTCATTTGGGTAATGCTTGAAACCTATTTTGCGCGAAAATATGTCGTAGTAGAATTCTGCGTCAGAGAAACACAGAGATATATAGAAAGAATAACATTGATAAATAAGAATTTATGGTATTTGTCAGTGAGAAAAAACAACAATGTCGTAAAGATTTGTACAATTATTGCGATTCACAAAACGCAATAACAGTAATATACAGGGTGGTCCTAATTGTAATCGAGAAATTTTTACATCATATTCTGCAGATAAAAATAAGTGAAAAATTTCATATACAGGATGTAGAAGTTTCATTTTTATTTCGTTCTTTCCAAATATACAGGGTGTCCCACTTAAGATGGATACAAGCCAATATCTTGGTTGTTTGTTGAGCGATCTTTTTCATTTTTGGCAGGAGGCTGTATGGCTATAAGACGTACATTTTGCCCAGGATAAGAAATGCGATACCCCATAGACGTACGTTTTAATGAGGTTTGATATTTTTCGAGTCAAGAGTAAACTACCCTTAGGACAGTATTTATTTCAAATCTGATAAATTGTATTGAATCCTCCTTATCTAAGATAGTTAAGTTCTAATTTTTATAAATATTGATACAGGGTGTGTCATTAAAATAAGACATTTTTATTTTTATTATTATTATTTTTTAAGTACTTACAACGCCACTGGATAAACAACTGGTTTATTATCAATAACCAATTGTATCCTATTATCAATTAATAATCGATTTAAGTTTGGTTGAAGATGTTGACTTTTAGTTGGTTTAGTTTTATAAATCTTTATTTAGAGCATATTTTTCGAAGTTAATAGTGATTGTTTTAAATAACTATTTGGATTTTTAAAAATATTCCTCAATATATATTTTTATTCGATTTAAATAACTATTTGGATTTTTAAAAATATTCCTCAATACGATTTTTATTCGTTTTAATAAAAATCGTATTTCAGATTCCATTGAAAACTGGATTTTTAAATTATTTTGTAACTCATTTTATTCATTTGTATTACCAAACTTAAAAAACAATTTTTTAAAGTAAACAAAATAAATTGAAAATATTTAGTTTCTTTGTATCGTATCTTAATTATTATGGAAGCTATCTGAAATCTTAAATCGATTATTAATTGATAATTGGTTATAACTGGTTATTGATAATAAACCAGTTGTTTATCCAGTGGCGTCGTAAGTACTTAAAAATAATAATAAAAATAAAAATGTGTTATTTTAATCACACACCCTGTATCAATATTTATCAAAATTAGAACTTAAGTATCTTGGGTAATGAAGATTCAATATAATTTATCGGATTTGAAATAAATACTCTCCTAAGGGTAGTTTACTCTTGACTCGAAACATATCAAACCCCATTAAAACGTACTTCTATGAGGTATCGCATTTCTTACCCTGGGCAAAATGTAGGTCTTATAGCCATACAGCCTCCTGCCAAAAATGAAAAAGATCGCTCAACAAACAACCAAGATATTGGCTTGTGTCCATCTTAAGTGGGACACCCTGTATATGATTTTTGACATTAGAAATTAGATTTCGATGTTAATATGGCTCGTACTTGTAGGGGGTGCTACCTACTTATGTACTTTTTAATTTTTAACTGATTTGAAGAGTAATAACTTTTCCTCCATATTTATATTACACTATTTAAATAAAAAAAAATATACATTTGTGTCATTTCCTAGGTAAAAATTACCGCTCTTGGTAAAAATCGCTATGAGCAAGCATTCTCAAGATATTTGGAATCGAAATAATTAATACATTATCTTTGACAGAAATTAATCATGTTGACTAGGCTGTTAAATTAGACTGCAATAATAAATTGAGAACTAGAACCTAGAAAAGGTAACCAAGATTTATCAGAAATTGTTTTATCATAAATTTTCAAAATTTAAGATTACGTTTCAAAATGTATCATTTCAATTAGAATTTCACATATCAAAAAACATACAGACACAAATTTTTAGCCAAATATCAACGTTAGTTCAAAAATGATTTGGAAAAAACCGAAACGAAAATGAAACTTCCATACCCTGTATCTCCAAAACGAAGCCAACTTAGGAGACGCGTTCATACAAACTTTTTTACTTATTTTTACAATTCTCTCTCTCAGATGACCCTGTATAATAAATAATATAACTGATTAATTAAATAGGACGATATTTCTCTATGACTGAATATTGAACTTAGATAATCATAGTTTAAATGTTAAAAACTGCATCGTTTTATCGTGAATTTTGTAATAGCTGCATGATTCTCAATGAGATACGTATTGGATTTTCTAGAATTGCATTGTCCATGAACTTATTTATTGAAATAGCGGTTTATCGGTGATTTTCTTAGAAAATACATATTTACATCCTTTGCTGTTCTAGAATATTCTTTATATTTTTTAATAAATATCGCAAATAAATATTTTTTGAATACCCCCCCCCCCTACATGTTTTATTATAGTCTCTACACAACTCCCCATACTAGATGGCTATTCTCATCTGAAGGAGGGTCCACATTTAGTAACATGTTATATAACATTGCTATTTGACAAGCGACATATGACATGCTAAAAAACCGGGAGCCGTCCACATTATAGTTTTCGGAATCATTAATCGTTTTGGCGAGAAAGAGGATCTGCTAGCAGCAGTGGCGTGCGTAATTATTTTTGAAGAATGAGAAAGAAAGTCGAGAAAAAAAAAAGCGGTTTTGAATCCGCCATGATCTACAAGATAGATTTATATATAGTTGAACTCAATTAGCTTACCTTTTCAATACCTGCCTCCAGGGGCGGATACAGGAATTTATTTTAGGGAGGGCCCGCGATTTATTTTAGGGGGGGCCCAAATAAAAATAATGTAGAATATGCTTTTTAGAGCGCCATTTTTAACCCAAAAACCTAATATTTAACCCAATTTACATATTTCAGGGGGGGCCTTGGCTCCATGGGCCCCCCTCTGTATCCGCCACTGCCTGCCTCGGCTGTTTCTCGTGGTTTGTTTCTGTCTTTTAAAAACATTAATAACTTAAAAGCAAACCATTTTGAATTATCCACTTCGTCTAAACCAGTAGATACCTGATTTGCATTTCTTTTGTTCCCTCTGGAACTGCCCATTTAGATCACGCATTTTTTTCTCAACTTTTGCAATGCTTTTTAACCATGCATCATGCTTTTTTTTATTTCACTTTAAATGAGGGACTACGGATATCCCATAACACTGTATGATCTCTATACAACTTAATTAGTTGACAAGTCTGCTCTTGGCTCTACTCCATAATATAACATAATATAACATAACAATATAAGAACATAGAGAAAGTAATAAAAAGTTTTACTTTACTATAAGTTCAAGCTTTTTACTATCTTTCTCTATGTATAAGAACAGGGCCTATTTTTCATCTGGTCGGGCCCTAAGGCCCAAGCAAAAATTCGGGCCCTCTTTTCCAATAAAATTCAAAAATTCTCTTGTTAGTTTGGGTTAAAAAAATAAAACAATTATTTTTATTTTTATTTTTTTAATAATTTTAAAAAATAAATAAACCTTATTATATTCAACAAAATAAATAATGAAAAAAAAACAAAAATTATATTAATCTAAAGCGTATTTTATTTAATTCTGTTTTCCTTATCAGATGTAACTGTTTTTTTCTCTGCTATGTAAATTTACATTTGAAATTATGAACATTTTACAACCTTTAACGGGCCTCCCAGATCACCGGGCCCAAGGCCCCGGCCTGATGGGCCTTATGGTAAAATAGGGCCTGTATAAGAACTATTCGATCGAAAAAAAATGGCGTCAGCGATGGGTATGAAATGAAGATCGCTGTCATTTTATATGAAAAATTATAGTGGGAATGTCATCGATCGTCATGTCTAAGCCAACTGGACGGGAAGCAGACTGGACGCAGTTTTTTTTTCGATCGATTGGTATTATTGACCAGTAAATAAACAAACCCAATATTAGCTCACCATACTAAGATTCTATCGCGCACTTCACTGAAAATATGAGAGGCTAAACTAGAAATTTTTTTTAGCAAGTCTGGACGCATTGTTTCATGTTACAATAGCAGTGTTGAGCAACATCTTTTGATCTTTACCGACTACAAATGGATATCATCTAGCAAGTTTTATAGCAGCGAAATTTGCTAAATATGACTAAAAAAATATGTAACATGTTATATAACTTTGCTATATAGCAGTGTTATATAGCAAGTGTGGACCTTGATGATTGCAGTATATAGGCCACGTTGTACCTCTATTATATCGTTCTTCGAAAGACTGCATATATTCTTATCTACTAGGTTACATTCGGTGTCATCAATTTCATTTATTCTCAGCCTAATTTTGGAGGTGAGACGTGATTGAAGAGGTGCTTTTCTATACCTAATGTCTTCTTCAACTCTTTCCTTGTCAGTCGCAGAAAAATCAATCAGTTATTAAGTCTCACAAGGCACGTACACACTATATACAGGGTGTCCCACTTAAGATAGATACGAGCCAATATCTTGGTTGTTTGTTGCGCGATCTTTTTTATTTTTGGCAGGAGGCTGACTGGCTATAAGACGTACATTATGCCCAGGATAAGAAATGCGATACGTCATAGACGTACGTTTTAATGGGGTTTGATATTTTTCGAGTCAAGAGTAAACTTGCCTTAGGACAGTATTTATTTCAAATCTGATAAATTATATTGAATCCTCCTTACCTAAGATAATTAAGTTCTAATTTTGATAAATATTGATACAGGGTGTGTCATTAAAATAAGATATTTTTATTTTTATTATTATTTTTTTAAGTACTTACGACGCCGCTGGATAAACAACTGTACGCCTTATAGCCATACAGCCTCCTGCCAAAAATGAAAAAGATCGCTCAACAATCAAGATATTGGCTTGTATCCATCTTAAGTGGGACACCCTGTATGTATAAGAGAGACAATGATTATTTTTTATCTTTTCTTACCATTTACTTTTAGAGTTCCATTTTTTTGTAGAGGTGTAGATTCGTAGAGGTGTCTTTTCCTAAAAAAAAAACGTTACTAATTAGACATTAACCCGATGCTAGATTTCTGTAAAGTTGAAAACCTAACCTAACACAATTTAACTTATATACAGAAACTACATAAACAGAAATTATATACAATAGAAATATTGGAGGAAAATCTTGGAAGCTGTCCAAATAATTTGTTATAAACTAATTAACTTGTGTTTAGAAAGCTTTGATCCCTTATAAGGACAATAGGGACATATATTACATGAATTAATATCAATTTTTAAAACAGAGAGAAACCAAAATCTTTACACATTATAATTTATAATTCTACCAATAGACATCCTAAAATATCTATTTGGCATAACTGTCAGACTAAAATTAACTTTTCAAGAAAAACGAATTATTGTTTTACTGTATTTTTTGATATTCGTGTACTTTATTACACTTAAATTTAAAAAAAACTCTGGGCTATTATACTATAAGTGAAAAGTGAATATAAAACATAAGTTTAAGTTAAATATAATATCTGGCAAAACATCTGGTGACACAAGATAAAAAATGTATTTATAAAATTTAAAAATGGAGAGAAGTAGAGTTGAATTATGGGGAACAAGTGTCATGAACCTCCCGAAAATTTATACAGCATCGAATTTCAAAGTTTAAGTTTATTAAAATGCATATTTGGATAAAATCCAGTTTTTCAAAAGGTTTCTTTTTTAGACTTAATTGCTTTGACTTCTAGTAGATTGAGAGACGTAAAAAATATTTTTTTTATAAATATAATTGTTGTAAATCAATTAAAATACACAATTTAAATTATTCACACTTATTACCGAAAATTTTCTGTGACATGATATGTATACAGGGTTGTTCACCACATACGACACGGAGTATTGTAGCTAAACGATTAGATTTTTACAAAATGTAAGTTTTGGGTTCGTTGAAGGACTATTAGAGCTACAATTTAAAAATATTTTTACAAGATACAGAGTGTCCCAAATAAATAAAAAATATCAAAGTTGTATTTTTTTAAATGGAACACCCTGTATATTATTGCATTTTTAGTTTCTACGATTAAAATAAAGGTAAAAAAAAGGTTTATTACACTTAAACCTTACCGTTTTTGAAATATTTTCAATTTTGCTAAATTGCAGTATAAATTTTAAGGCTTCATTTCTCCGAGGATATCAAAGTTTTTAATACTAAATATTTACTGAAGTTTATTTATTGATCAGTTATTGTGTTGCAATAATAAAACTTATACCACCTTATACAGAGTGTCTAAATATTTATTTTAAATAATTGCTAGTTCTAAACGGCAATAACTTATTTACATTAAATAGAACACCCTGTATATTTTATGAGAATCAGATGCACAATTTAATTGTCTATCAAATTGTATTATACCACTTCTTACCTATTCTTTCAAGTCTTCGTAGAAAATGCATTTTCTTATAATTTAGACCTCATTTATCAATATACCCATGGAATATTGACATTTTAGATTGTTTTTAAAACAACAAATGTAAAAAATGTACAGGCTAGTAATATTATCGTTTTTAGTAAAACGATAATATTACTAGCCTATTTGTATGCAAAAAGAAAACTATCTAAATCTTGATAAAAGAGTATACCATTAATTAAATATACCACCAGTATTTCCGCCCAAATACTAATTAACTACATACTTAATTGTGTTCGTTAATAAATTATTCTAAATAAATGTGGATTTGAATCAGAAATCAATATAATAATAAGTTATGAAAATGAACGTCTCTGTTGTTATAAATAAGCATTTGTCAAAAAATTAAATATCATTTTTAAGGTGTTACTTTTTACCACACTGTCTAATACACATACATAATTCACTTTTTTAGTATTTGGAGCAATTATTATTAATCAACGCAAACAGTCAATTAATGTAATTTGAATACTGGAATCATATTAATAGGTCCTCTTTAACAAATATTTGAACAGTTTTTTTTATTTTTTAATGAAATAAACGAACTATATCGACAATATTAGTATCTGTACTCTTTAAAAATTTTGTACATCTTTAAAAATAATCTAAAATGTCAATATTCCATGGGTATATTGATAAATGAGTTCTAAATTACAACAAAATGCATTTTCTACGGAAGAGATAGGTAAAAAACGGTATAATACAATTTGATAGACAATTAAATTGTACATCTGATTCTCATAAAATATACAGGGTGTTCCATTTAAATCAAACAAGTTATTGCCGTTTAAAGCTAGTAATTATTTAAAATAAATTTTTAGACACTCTGTATAAGGTAATAAAGTTTTTATTATTGCAACACAATAACTGATCAATAAATAAACTTCAGAATCTTTAGTATTAAAAACTTTGATACTCTCGGAGAAATGAAACCTTAAAATTTATACTGCAATTTCACAAAATTGAAAATATTTCAAAAACGGTAAGGTTTAAGCGTAATAAACCTTAATCAAATTTACCTTTATTTTAATCGTACAAACTAAAAATGTAATAATATATAGGGTGTTCCATTTAAAAAAATACAACTTTGATATTTTTTATTTATTTGGGACATCCTCTATCTTGTAAAAATATTTTTAAATTGTAGCTCTAATAGTCCTTCAACGAACCCAAAACTTACAATTTGTAAAAATCTAGTCATTTAGCTACAATACTCCGTGTCGTATGTGGTGAACAACCCTGTATATTATAAAGGCAGTAAATAAATTTATGAGTTTTCAAATACTCCTCATAAACATATAAACTATTCGTTGTTGTGCATTCCAGTTTTAAGTTGTTTTCAGCACTAACTTTCTGTTTTTCTGTAAAGTATTTTGCACGAAAATAAGATGCTGAGGAGGATTTTAAATATATTTGAAATATATCCAAGAGTGACAATTAAAAATTATGTGGATACATGCAACTTATAAATTAAAATAAAATCCAAAACTATTCCACTGAGATGAGATGAGAAATAAGTACAAACCAAAATTCTAATTATAACTGGAATGACTTTGTCTTAGTAACTTATACAAACTTATAACAACAAATGTTTGTTTTTATAAAGTTTTCAAGTTGGAAATAAAAAAAACAGAGATTAATCAACTCATATAACGAAAAACACAAATATTAAATAAATAAAATCACTATATCATTCACTACAGTACACCAAAACACTTTAATTTTAACAATGGACGTGCGTTTCGCTAACTATGTTAACATCATCAGCAGATGATTAAAACTAGTTTTAATTTATTCATTTGCGGATGATGCTATATGGTTAGCAAAATGTGTTTTGGTGTATTGTAGTGAATCAGTGTTTTTATTTTGTTGTTGTAAGACCAAAGGTTTCAACCCCCAACTGTAATTAAATAAATGCTGGAGATATCCTCAACTGTAAAAATAAATGCTGGAGATATACCGGGTGTTGCATCGTCGCTGGGAACATAGGAAATTCCATGCAAAATTTGAACTGTCCAAATATTAGCTCCCCTATGGATTTTAGAGCGAAGTCGTAAATAGACTTTTTAAAGGTCTACAGTTGGTAAACACACATGCCAAATTTGAACAATTTTGGACAAGCCAATTTTAGGTAATTTGAGAAAAACTTACTGATGTACTAAGCAAAATAAAAACACTAAATCACCACAATACACCAAAACACTTTTACTTTTACACTGGAAATTGAAGCCTATGGACTTTACAAAAAACTTACTTATAAGCTAACTAATGTAGAGTATGAATGTTGGTGTCCCTTTCAGAGAAATATGTTTGTGGTTATCAATTCAAAATTTGTTAAGAAAATCTTTCTTCGCAGACTTTTGATAAACAAGAGCTCAGTTTATTAAACAAAGGTTTAAAGTAGGTATGCATTGCCCAACTCTGGTAGCGCTTTGGAGGAAATCGTCGTTGGTGTTGAAACTGCTATTCAGCACTTGCCCGAGGCTTCTAAAGTATTTACAAGAGAGGCTTGTAGAAATCAGTTATCAAAAAGTATCGTTTCAAGTAATTGATTAAAATCTAACAAAGAGCACAATATTGTCAAGAGTTTGCGTAACAAAGATTGTTTCTATCTAAAAGCTGATAAGGGAAATAAGGTTGTTATATTAGATAAAAAAGACTATTACGATAAGGTTAGCAACTTAATCGATAATGGCCCCTACATAAATTTGAAAAAGAATCCTTTGTCTAAGATGGTAGCAGACGTTAAAAAAACTCTAAAAGAATGTAACACCCAAAATTATATCGTTAATATACCAAAATTGTATGCTTTGCCAAAAATTCATAAACCGAACAAGTCTATGCGCCCAATTGTTTCGGCTGTAGGTTCTCCGACTTATAATTTGGCAAAATGGTTATCAAGGGAGTTCGAAAATTTACCTAATCATGAACCTTCTTTCTCAGTTAGAAATAATATTGAATTCATTAACAAAATTAAAGATATAACATTTCATGAAGGTGAAATTTTGGTCCCCTTTGATGTATCTTCGTTGTTCCCAAGTGTTCCAATTCCACATTTTAGAATTTTTAAATTTAGAATGGTGGGAGGGGGGTTAATCCCTTCGACCTTACAGATCCATTTGTGTTCCCAACTTTATTGAATCGCAACTCATCATACCAGTCCCAGGGCTTTGGCAAAGCCAATTATCTGAGACAGTTTATAGAGTAGTTCTCCATCTCAATATCAGTCGGCCTGAAAATTATGGCATGAATGGTTGTCTTCTTGGTGCACTCAGTGATAGAGGTGTACTGGTGTTTCACCATCTTCCCAGAATCTACATTCGCCGTTTCTTCTCCAGTTCAAATTACACAAACAGAGGTGTTCATTTGGGGAACCAGTGTCCCATAATTTAAAAACCCGCGTGACAATCCGAAGATTGTTCTTACTCAGACCAGGAAGATCTGTGATTTTTCTTGAGCCCTCAGAAACTTCTTTGCCCTCAGAAACTTCTTCAGTGTCTTAGACCATTGCAAGATTTCCATTCAGGTTGCGGATGAATCTTCCAAGTTCTTCAATTCCGATTAGTTGGTTTCTACTTGGAAAATAAGAACGGTTCCTGGTCCAGTTAGTGGAGTGTTCGCTCCTTTTCTAGCTAGATTATTTGCCTTTTTCATTGCCTTCTATCCCTTGGTGAGCAGGCACCTTGATTATCAGGAGGACTTTTGTTTTTCTTTGCCTAATTTATTCCAAGCTTCTCTGGCCATTCTTTGACTAATTTCGAAGATTAGTTGATGCAGGTTGATCGCCTTTAACGCTTTTTGACTATCAGATAAGATGGCTGGCCCTACTTGTTTCCAAATGGTTTCCTATCTAAGATAGGTTGTACGCATCTCTAGATAGCGTAGATTTCTACCTATGGGATACTAGGGTAAGTGCCCATTGGTTTGGAGTAGTAGCTCTCAGCCCAAACACTCAATCCCTGTTCCCGTATTGGTTTTGGAAACATCAATTATACAAGTTATGGTATATGGTCTTTTTTTTAACTTTCTGCTGAGCAAGCGTTTCGCTCTTCAAATCCTTCTTATTATATTACTACAGTGACATGTTTGTCAAAGTTGTACGTTCTTGGCATATCCTCGTCCACTGGGAGTTGGGAGAAGTGGAATTTTCTCTTTGAGGGTGTTCCAAGCCCCTGATCGGACAATTCTCCCAGTACTATTTCCGTTAGTGACCATTCTAATAATTGTCGCATTGGCATATCTACCAATGACAATGTACAGTGGTGTTAGATCTAGAATGACCTCCATTGCTGCTGCTGGACAGGTTCTCCTTAGCTCCTGTGATGCAAACGCTTGCTAGTCTCTGGACTTTGCATGGGTTTAGCCTTGCCGTCCATTGCTCCAGTTTTGTGTACCAGGCAGCTGCTCCATAAGTAATCAAGGGTCTTAATATATTGGTTTTATCCAGCGCAATATGTTAGGGGAGCAGCCCATCTATTTCCGGCCAGTCTTCTGCATACGATGAGAGCTTTTGTGGCTTTACTGGTAGTGTTCTTAATATGCCTGTTCCAGAGAAGTTATCCAGGGTTATTCCCAGGTATTTAGCTTCCTGTGTTGGCAGTATTCCTTTCCATCTAGTTGGATTCTTTTTCAAGTTTTTCCAGACTTCGCCTTCTGAGTGAATGGCACTATCGCAGTTTTGTCTGAGTTGATACTCAGCCCGACAGTCCTACACCATCTCTCTCAGTGATACGGAGTCCTCTTTGGATAATATCACACAAGGTGCCTTCATGTTTCCCCGAGCGATCATGACTATGTCGTCTGCATACCCAATGCAGTGTATTCCCGCTAGAGTTAATTCATTTAGTAGTACGTAGCACT